TGCCACAATCATCATCGTCGTCATCATCATCTGTCTAGGACAGCCAGAGTGAAAACTGGGGAGGGCACCCATACCTTTTATGGCTGTAGTATTCAAAGATATATCTATCTGAATTCGGATCAGTATGCAATGGGATCTTGTTGGAACTTTGAGACTGAGGGAGAACCTTGTACATGAGCTTTTGTAGACTAGAGGTGGATCTACTGGAGAAATAATGCAGTTTAACACCACTTTAAGTGTTGTAGCTCCATCCTATGGAATACTGGGATTTGTAGTTTCCCATGGTGTTTAGTCTTCTCTGCCAAAGAGGGCTGGACCCTCACAAAACTGCAAATCCCAGAATTCTGTAGGATGGAGCCATGGCAGTTAAAGGGGTGTGAAACTGAATTATTTCTACAGTGTAGATGTACTCTGGTCTAGTGAAGCAGAACCAGCCTATGGAAGCTTATAATACAAATTTCTCTCAAAAGTAAAACTTGATTTTGCCATTTGATGTAAGGGTCACCATTTTGCTATGGAAAATTTGTGATCATAGACTATAATGAATTGTAATTATTTTGTGAGAAATATTTTGTAAGAAATTATTTTGTGAAACAATACATATTTTTTTTGGCAATAACTGTGGTTCCAAGGTCATCCATGGAAACCCATTGGGAGATACCAGGCAAGCGACACTTCTTTTAGCCTCAAAGGAAGGCAATGGCAAAACTGATTTTGCCATATAGACTCAGCTCGCCAAAGCTCCCTCCAGCATGGCCAAAGATGAAGGATTTATGGAGGCTGTAGCCCAAAACATGTGGAGGGTATTAGGTTGCACTGCCCTGGTACAGGCTCAAAAGGGGTGGAGGAACAGAGAAACAAGCAGCCAATGGTACAAACCAATAGAACCATGCATGCTCTGAAAGAGCCTTAATTAAGTAGCAAAGAAATTTGTTTTGGAAGTGTGGGATGGAGTTGGACAGAATGATTGGGTAAACACCGCCTAACTGAGGGCCTCGGCAGACGGAGGCCCCGGAGACACCGCGGGTTGGAGCGTCGGCAGATCTCAGCCTCTGCACCGCGGCGCTCCTGCGGCGAATCTAAAAGGAGCTCCAAATTGGTGCTCCTTTTAGATTTCAGGGAAAGTGCGCCCTAAAAGCGGCAGGCGCACTTTCCCTGACTCAAACGCCGCGGCGCGTCCGGTCGCCACAGCGTGAGTTCATTCCTGGAGCTCCGGCCGTGCGGAGGGCCGGCGACTCCGAGGGCGACCTCAGGAAGAGGAAGGGGCGCCGCTCGTGCGGCTGCCCCTCCTCTTCTGGGCCCGGAAGATGGCTCAATTAGCCGTCTGCCGAGGCCCTGAGTCTGCCAATCGTTCCACCTTCAGTTAGAAGAGACCATGATCATGGGCAGACACACCGGTTTCAAAGAAAGCAGTTGTGTCATAAACTGTGCGGCTGCAAGTGTAAGGAGAGAATTAGGTTAAAAAAAATCATGATGTTGGGTGCGTGGATTGAGACCTCACCACTCAAATGGTCTAGCTCAGGGGTAGACAACCTTTCCCTTTTAAGGGCCGAGGGACTTCAGCTCCCAGAATCCCAGGAGCTATTGGCCAACATGGGACTATTGGCCAACATGGCAGAGGCTTCTGGGAGCTGAAGTCCCTTGGCCCTTAAAGGGGAAAGGTTGCCTACCCCTGGTCTAGCTTCTAATTCTAGTAAGTTTTGGTGGAGTTGTATGGGTGCCCACCTCCATCAAAACTATGAAGAAGGTGGTTACAGTTGGCTCTCCATATCCATGTATTCTTTATCTATGGATTTAATCATCCATAGCTTGATATATATATATATCTCAAGCCATGGATGATTAAATATAATCATATGATCATATGATCAAGAAAACTGTATAATGAGACAGCCTAGCATGGACCTGAGCAGAGAGGTAGAGGATAGGGGGTCTTGGAAATGTCTCATTCACAGGGTCCCCATGAGTCAAGGTTGACTCAAAGGCACCTAACAACAACAACAACAACAACAACAACAACAACTACAACACACATATATATTGCAAAATGGAAATCTTGATTTGGCCATTTTATATAAGGGACACCATTTTATTATGCCACTTTATATAATAGGACAGATTTTGGTATCCCTGGAGGTCCTGGAACCAACCCCCAGTGGATACCAAGGGCCCACTATTTTCTTTTTCTGGGGACTGTAAAAAAGGGGGTTCTGGGGTTTTTTTTAAGGAACACACTGCTCAGCAACCTTGCTTTGAAGAGACTTGAAACTGGTCAGTGTATAGGAACTCAACCTGTGCTTCTTTGCATCCTACAGCCTGGGAGCAAATGGCATCTTTGTTGTCTGCCATTTCCTAAAGCATGCATGCAAGCAAGACTACCAAGTTGTTCTCTCAGCCCAATGGCTGTAAATCTCTATCCGCAAAATAAATCTGCCTTCTTATTCTCCGAGTTTGATATCCTGATCTTTGCTGTATGGAATGCTAGGGGTTTAAGCAACATCTGGCCACCATCCAGGGACATTCCTTTCTGGAATCGCTTCTTCTGAAACCAAGAGGTCCACACCTGAGGCAAAGTATATTGGGAAAATGGTGACACTGCTCCTCTTGGGTCAAAGTCAGTATTCCCTGTTCAGGCTATTTATCAATTCTTCTGAAGTTATAATAATACTTGGCCCCGTATTTACAATTGAGCATCTAAACCACTTCATGTATCATGTTACAGTGTCATCCTTACAACAACCCTGTAAAGTTATTCCCATAATACAGATGAGACGCTTCAAGAGGTGGCCCGCTCTAGACCACATCAAAGAACATTGTGTAGAGGCAAGATTTGCACTCAGGACTTTCAGTTTGGTCTCCTATCTCCTGGCATCCCACCAATTGAATATGTCAAGCAGAGGACTTCACCAAACATCTCACCAGACAGCGTGTTAACTCAGACTTTATTTATTCATTGAAGATTTTTTAAAAACCCTGCTTCCCGTGTTTATAATCAAAACCCCACAGCAGATTATGACAATGAAAGCTCAACAAAGTGCACTAAAACCAACCAATCTGTTATTATTTTTTAAAACGTACCTGCATATCTACCATAGCTCCATGAAACATACGACTGTTTCAGAAAGTGGTGGATTCTCCTTCTTTGGAGATCTTTAAACAGAAGTTGGATAACTATCTCTCAGGAGTACTTTGATAGTGTCTCCTGCATGGCAGGGGTTGGAGAAGATGGTCCTTGTGGTCCCCTCCAACTCTATGACTCCATAAATCATGCTTAATGATATCATCCTTGTGATGTCACACAGGGCCTGCCCCTTGTGACATCACAAGTGGTCCACCACCTCTTGTCTCAGGGCTTAGGATCGTCTTGACCTGACAACTCTGAGCCTACATTTGACTGAATTTAATGCTACCCGATAGGAATGGAAGTTGCCTCTCTGGTTTTATGGTCCTAGATTATCTCAGATGTGGAAAGATCTCCCCAGATTTGTTTTCCATTAATTCCACTTCCAAAGGTGAAAGATGCTCAAAATGTCAATTCTTCTTGGCACTTGCCAAGCGTGTGTGTGTGTGTGTGTGTGAAACCCAATTCATCGTTACTCAGCATATAACCCATATTTACCCTGCCTCCCTCCCAAAACTGGGACTCAAGGCAAACTCAAGGTGGGAACTCAGTATTCCCATTAGTATCTCAAAACTTGCTCCTGTATATTTCACCTGCTCCTGTATATGAAGCGCTCTGTTGATGATACCTTGGTTCAGTTGCTATTAAATAATGTTCATTAGCAATCACTTAGTTTCTGCTGAGCACTTAATAATCCCAGTGATTAGTATTTTCAACACAGTCTTAAAGTCCTGTACATCTAAGGTTTAAAAAGCTCCCAAGTACCATTTTAATGAATAAGTATTTTGAATAGAATATGACTGTCATTATCTCCTCCTTGCCCAGAAAATCAGAATATTGTGACTTTGCAACCCTGTTATTAGTCAGCAAGCTCTTAATGAAAAACGGAGGGGCAGTAAAGCCTGGTCCGGCAGGAAAGCAATTTAAAATATAAATGCCAATATCACAACAGCTTTGGGAGGAATCTTTCATAACTTTATACAAAGTGACCACACTTGGGATAGTAACTGTTTATGAGGAAAATGCCCTTAATGTGCTGTAATATCAAAATATGTAGGGTTTTTTTTAATTGATACATTTTCCAATTGCTCTTAATTTTAAAATTCTGTTTTTTAAAAAAAGTTTTAGTGATATAAGATTTTATTGGTGTCTGTTTAAATTTTGCAAGACATACCAAAGTGTTAGGGTTAGGGAAAGATCTGGATATAAATCAATTCATTAACAATAGTAAGAACAACAACAACACAATTGTTACATACAGTTCTGTCTAAGAGCCAGTGTGGCAAAATGGTCTGAGTGCTGGACTTAGGACTCTTGAGAGACTACATCTGAGTCCCTGCTCAGCCATAGAAAAACGTTAGGTGATCCTCGGCAAGTCACACTCTCTCAGCTTAAGAGCAGGGCAAAGGCAAAGCTTCTCTAAAGAAATATGGTCAAGAAAACCCTTGGTGGATTGTAAGCCACTTGGATTGATTTTCATTAAGCAGGATAAATAATAATAATAATAATAATAATAATAATAATAATAATAATAATAATAATAATTATTATTATTATTATTATTATTATTATTATTATTATTATTATTATTATTAACCAGTGTGGTGTAATGGTTTTTGTACTGGACTAGGACTCTGGGAGACCAGGGTTCAAATCCCTGCTCAACTATGGAAAACTACTGAAGGAACCTTGGACAAGGTCCACTCTCTCAGCCTCAGAGGAAAGCCATGGGAAACCTCTTCTGAAGAAAGGTTACCAAGAAAACTCCAGAAGAGGGTAGCCATAGGTCAAAGTTGGTTTCAAGGCACCTAACAACAGAATCTGTAATGTAAGACATAGTTTTTAGTTTAAAAGCCTAATAGTTTGTAGTATGTAAGGAGCCTGTGTGGTGTAGTGGTCTGAGCACTGGACTAGGATTCCAGGAGACCAGGGTTCAAATCCCCATTCATCCATGGAAGCCCATTGGGTGGTCCTGGGCAAATTGCATTCTCTAAGACTCAGAGGAAAGCAATGGCAAGATGAACCAAGAAAGGTACATCAAGATAGGGACAGAGCTGGCATGAAAATGACAGCAACAACAGGAACAACAGCATGAGAGCCAGTGGGGTATAGGGTTTGTTTGTTTGTTTTTTTAGTGTTGGATTAGGACTCCTAGAGACTTGGGAGACTTCTGACTAAACCTTGCCAAGAAAACCCTAGAAGAGGGTAACCATAAATCAGAGTCAACTTAAAGACACATAGAAACAACTCAACAGTTCTGGTCACTACAACTCTAGAAATAGAAAGCTGACAAAATGTGCAGAAAAGGGCAAAATAATGGAAAGGTTGGAGCTGAACCTTTACAAGGAATCAAGTTAAAACATTTTGGGCCATTTTAGCTTAGGAAAAGGTTGTGTGACCTCTAAACCAGAGACATGGCAAAACTGTGCCACGGTGAGGAGACAGAGATTTTTTCTTCCTTTTTGGAAACATGGCATCGCATGATGAAGATTCCTGATCTTACTTCTTCAGGAGAAATAATCTCCTGCTCTCACTTCTTGCAGGAGAAACCATCTACGAAACAAGTTGTGGGTTCTTTCCCTGACCCATTTTTTGAGGGAAAAACCAGTCCCACCCAGTGCTTGTCCACCACAAGCGATGTGCAAACTGGGTCACACCCTGGGCTGCCTAAATCAAAGACATCCATGGCTGTTTCAAAAGGGGATTAACCAAATTCAGGGAGAACAAAACAACGAATTGCTACATATCACAATACCGATAAGTGACCACCAGTAATGGAGAGAGTGGCTGACGTACTATCCTCCTTGCAGTGTTTGAATATACACTCACACACATACACACAGGATAATTGTGCTATACAGCTGAACATTGACATTGTGCAACCAATGGCATATCTGTCCATGGAAACCTGGAAATCCTTACTCTAGAACATTTAGTGGAACATTCCTAGGAAGGCTATACTTTGTGAAATCACAATCTAGGGGTATGTCTACACAACACATTTATATGGATGGACCACCATGAATGGACCAACGAAAAGGTACACCTATCTGTATTCAATGGCCTGTGAACTTTCCATAAAGTTGAAAAAGGAGGTTGTTCTTTGAAGGAATGGATGATCAGCTTTTTCAGAACATGCTCAGAGCAATGTGTGACTAAATCAAAAATACAAAACCACACAAAAAGCATACATCAGATGACTTTAAAAAAAAATATAAGTAATAAAAATACTTGGCATTAAAAATCAAAACAAACTTAAAGAGGAGAATGGCCTGGCAGAGGCACCAATGCGGATGGTGCCACGTATGCCATCTACTCTTTTGCCAACCTATCACCTGTGGTCAGACTGGTTCTGCAGGATTTTGAAGTCCAATTATTGCTCTTAAAACCTTGGAAGAGAAGTGGAACTTGGGCCCTGGCAGCTACTAAAAAAGATTTCAGGCATAGATTAAAGATGCAGATCTTTGCTTAAGGTTTTCCTCCCTGCTCAGTTAGATCAAGAGATCCTACCTAATAAAGATGCAGAAGATAAGTAGGACAAAGGCAAGTTTTCATACTTTGGTAATTGTTTTGCAACAATTTTTGCCAAATAGTTTTTTGCACCATTGCCTAAATCCTATTGTTAATCTTGATAAGGAGAGGCTCTTTGTATCAATTGGATTTTCTTATATGTTGAGTTACCAATTGGTTTGCTCAAGCTGCGATTAATCAAAACTTTAACCATCATCCACCTACCCACCATTATTGCTGCTAAAAAAAGTGCTTTGTCTTTTTCTCTTTTTTTGTGAAAAATCTTGCAGTGGTTGACAATTTTTTTCAATAGAGGCTCTTATGACACCCTGTTAATGACACACACGTGTAAGTTGTGCTACATATGTGGAGTAAATTATTCACCTTAGTGTGGCAACTATTCTGCTGACTGTGGTGGTAGTGGAGTTGCACAGACAGCAATACAGTGTGTCGTAGTTGCACACTGTGCATTAGCAACCAGTCACTGAGCTGTGTTGCAAAATGCTTCTGTTCTTCATGAGGGCTGTGTAGTGCTGGTGTAGCATATCTCCATTTGTGGGGTACTTATGCTATGCTGAAAGGATGATGGATTGCAGCCTCCGACTCGCTTTCTCATTTTGGGTGACACCACTCCCAAGCCCTCTTTACCTTGCTATGATGGGTCCATAGGCCTGCCTGTAATATCAGCATTTAGGAATATCAACATCTTGCTACTTCATCCGGCTCCAAACATATTTTAAAAAGCATTGACCTAGAACAGTGGTTCCCAACTTCAGGATCTCCCTTTGTTTTGGACTTCAGCTCCCAGAAGCCCCAGTCAACTACCAACAGTTGGGAATTATGGGAGCTGAAGTCCAAATCATCTGGAGGACCAAAGGCTGGGAACCAATGATAGAAGTCTGGCCACCAAAATGGAAATTGTAAGAGATGTGGAAGGAAAAATAATTTCCAGATGCCTTTTGCAAGAAGCTTTCAGGTGGCCTCAAAGGTTCAAAGCCCTTCTGTTTACTTATGTAAGGTTTACCTGACCTGGCTGTTTCCCTTCACATGTGTATGTGAAGTTAGTCCTAAATAAAATAAATTGCTGAAATATATTGAACTGCTCTGATTTTTTTTAGTGTAGTGTAGGAACCTATTCTTATTCTTTCCACAATACTTCCGCCCCGGTACCAAATTTTCATTAAAAGAAGTCATGCCCAGGAGCACGTCAACTTTGTTAACTGAGGTCTACCTGCATGCCAACAATAGTTGGCCAACTAAACCTCCGAAGTGCCCTTGGCCTTGAGTTCACCCACTGCAAAATGGTCAACCAGCTGACCCACACACCAGAAGTGTGTTTGTGTAGGAGAAGGCTACAGATGTCTCCAAGTGCAACCCTACTAGGGACCCCACGGCAAAAGTGCAACTGTTGAGGAAACTATTTTGACCCAAGCATAGTGATCCAACAGGATTCTGGCCAAACTTACCAACTTCTGTTCCCCCCCCCCCCCCCCCCCCCCGGCCGCCATAGAGATGACTACATTGGACTGAAAGTTTCTCACATGTGTTCAGCCTCAGCAAAGCATTTCAGAAATATCTTTTTATGTATTTGTTCTTGCAGTGAGAATGTGTTCATCAAAGCAAGCCTAGCTGTAAGTCTTGCCAAATGACCACAAAACTTTATTGCATTTTTCAAAGGGCCCGTCTTGACAGATGGCAAGAACTGCCTTTGTGTGGTCTTCTTCCCCCCCCCCCCAAAAAAACCTATTCTACTCACACAGCAGAAGACACTAGAGGCATGTCTTAAGATGCTCCAAAGATGGTGGTTTTAGGAGAAAATTAATAACCATGGTGCTTTTTAAACTAACCAGCTTTGGAGCATCTGGAAATGTGTCTGGTTTCTTCTGTGGATTCTGTCAAATGCTTCTGCATTTCTGCTTCTTCTTGTCACACAGTGGCCACAAGGCTTTCATCTGGACACCAGAATGGACTTGTTTCATAAACATTTGCAAAAACAGCCATGAAGAGATGCAGTATCAATTGGGTAATGGAAAAATCTTTGACTTTTTTACGCACACGGGTCTCAATCCTACACTCCCTCAGCATTGCATAAATATCCACATGAGGACCTACTAGGGATGGAAAGAATATTTGAACATATTCAAAAATGGCCAAAAACATGTTTTCCAAGTGTTGAGAAATGCTGTTGAGAAGAATCCTGGACTGACAAAAATCTTTACAGTTCAGAACTCATTCTGCACAAAATTCACACTTTTTTTTTTAAAAAATAGAAAACAGCATTTTTTGCTCAGGAAAATGATATTTTAACATAGAAATATCAATTCCTGCACAGAAAATGGAGTTTTCCGCACAGAAAATGCTATAATTGGGATTTTATTCTGAATAAAATTCACACATGGTTGATATGCATAGAACATCAGGGTGAGACAGTGTGACTTATCTAAAGTCAGTCAGTGGGTTTCCATGGCTGAATGGGAATTCAACCCCGGTCTCCCAGAGTCCAAAACCCAAACCATTACACCACACTTGTATCCCACTAGTGTTCTTCCGAGAAGGGTTTCCTTCTTAGGCTGAGAGGATGTGACTTCTTTGAGGTCATCCAGTGAGTTTCCATGATTGAGCAGGCATTTGTACTCTGGCCTCTCACAGTCCCTAGTCCAGCTCTAAAAGCACTACACACACTGCTTGCTATGTTTTGTGCCTTGACTCTGACTTCCTAGGTCCCTAGGGTTTTCTTGGCAAGATTCAGCCAAAGGAGGTTCACCATGGGCTTCCCCTAAGGCTGAGAGTGTGTGACCAATTTCTACCATTCATCTTGATATAAATCTATACTTAAGTACTTTAAAAATGCACAACACACTATAGTTTTGGAATATGTAAAATTACAGTAAAAGCACACCAACAACCCAATAGTTACAAGCAATTAAGACAATCTCAGCAAATTAAAACCTCATCCCAGTACCTGCTTAAGTCTCAGCACACTTTGGGTGAAACTCTTTCCCAGCTTTATGTGGATGGATCTGTAGGTCAGCATTTTGGATTGTTGAACATGGCAAAAAAGCTGTAAATTGTACCCTTAGTGCTGTTACAGTGGTCCCATCATATACACAAGCGTTTGGTTCTAGGACCCCACAGGGATATGAAAGATTGTGGATATTCATGTCCTTATTATAAAATGCAGCAGCAGATGTGGTGGCAAGTCCTGTTCACCAGGAGCAAATTCTTCAGCCTCCTCCACCTCTGGACAGGATGCCAGACAACCATTTCCACCTTGCAAATCCATGAGGTGGTGGCACCCCTCTTCATTGCTTTGCTTTGCAAAGTGGAAGTGGTTGACTGGCATCCTCTGAAGAATTTGCACCTGGTGCCCAGGACTTGCCACCACATTCACTGCTATTCTGGGAGCACCTCTTATTATATCTCAGGTATTATTGTTTCTGAA